CCCCCCCCCCCCTTGGATCCGCGCCTGGGCCTGTTATTACCGTATCCGTTTTCCGCCGATATAAAGTAACACATTATTTTTAATATTTGTTGAGAAAATCTGAACATATATCCATCAAACCATAATAATTACGATGTACGTGACTCACTTCATCTAACCACATAAAATCTCTAAATCAAGAAATCAACTCACTAGTATCAAGTGATATCATTTTGACAGTGTATATTCCAACGTAGGTATGCGGTATGCCAGAGTTGAGATTTCCTATCTAAGAATCGTGTACTTATTTACGTTGAAGCATATTCATACTTTTTCATAAAATATATTAGAAAAATGCATTTCAAATACAAGTACGTCCCCCGCATAGTTATGGTCTGAACTGCTGAACAAACTACTTCATTAATACAAATTTAAAAAAATACTGAAAAATTCAACTGCCTAACATTTTAAAATAAAAAAGTTGGTTCTCAGTTGAAAAAAAATAAGAATATATATGTTTGATTTGAAGGATCTGAAAAATATGTTCCCAGTTCAGTGGCTGCAGCTGCAGTGAGTCTTTAGACTCGCGGATAGATCATGTACAACTGTTTTATATAAGTTTTCACTTATATCATAATATATCATTTTCACATTGTAGTAGTTATAAACCAGAATAATAATAAATAGTAATATTCCCCAGGTACCGTGTCCACTAATAATTTCCCTATAATATATCACACGCAATGAGTGAATAAAAAAACAATACTTTTACTCAGATTATAATAACTGTGACAACGCAGTCAGAGGCACTAGTGAAAGTATTTTGAACCAATTTGTTAACACATTGAACACAAATACACAATTGTTTCTGCGGTGTACATGTCACTATAGTATTAAAATACCTGCAGGTACTATAACACATTAACACGCATTTACCATTTATTGCTCTTTTCAAACACTTTGCAATCATCTTGCAATCATTATCAGACGTCGCAGATGTAAGTAGAATAGTATAATATATATTTAATACCTATGTAGTTATATTTTATATTATATTAGTTTTACTATTTTTATTATTTTATTAAATATTTATAAAGTGTATACATTTTTTGTACCTTTGAATGTATCTTATTACTTACTATAATATTATGAAGTATAATAGGTACCTGTCACTATAATCTGTAATCGTTTCAACAGTATAATTTAAGCTTAAATGCCTCCCAACAACTCAACTTGGAATCATGATAAAAACACGTAGTTATACTAGTACTGAGCGCTTACCTGTTTTTCCCATTTATACCCACAAGGCTATATAACAGTATATTGGGTCAAAAATGTTTGTTTTTACTTTTTTCACTTTTATGAAACGCAGTGTTATTATCACGATACACCAATCTTCATCGCAGTCTAAATTCAGACTACATCTTCCTCACATTAAATGTTCAACTAAATCAAAGTAGTCAGGAAATTCTGCATTTCAAAAAAGTACCTATAGGGTTATTTATTTCATTATAAACTTCTAATATAATTACATCAATAAAACCATCATTTTTGAAACACAATTGAGATTGATGATATATCATTGACATATAATGAACAAAATATATTTTATATACCTAATCTTATGACTTATGACTGTTTTCATTTATTGCTTGCAGCCATTGCGGCGAAGCAAGAGTATGGCAAACTGTGCCTACGCCAGGGGCACAATGCCGCAAAAATTGTGAAGGGGCTCAAAAGTGTGCTTCAAAAGTCGTATTTGCAGCTATTCTACCTTCAAAACGAAATTTTTTTGTTACACTTAGTGTAAACATATTACATTTTGACATGTGTATGATTTTGTTTATTCGCACATACTGCAGCGTGTAGGTTTAATCATGAAATAATGAAAAAAGCACAAGGAATATCCCAAATTATATTGAATTAATAATTGTTGTTTTAAATAAAGGTTAAAAAATATGATTACGTCAATTTTTTTTAATTTGTAAAAAGCTCTTTTTTTCTATTATGTTTGTCGGGGGCACTAACGAATCTTCATACGCTACTGGCCGCATCTTACATTTCTAAGTACCAATAATAGTATTAGGTAGGTAAATATAATCTGGAAAATATAATAACTACATTACTACAATATGCACGGGCGCCATTATATCAATGTTTGGAGGGAAATTAATGTAAAATCCAAAAGTGGTCTTATACCCTGGGCCATTATTAGTGTTGGATATTTTATGCTCTAATCAGTTACGGAAGACACCTATGCATATTTTGATGGTTTTAGTTTTTGTATGATTAAAAATATTGTCTTTAAATTTTTCTACTAAACAGTCTGAGCACTCCCATTTTCAATCATAATTTATACCTTTACCTTTTTTCAAAAGTTTATGTAAACATATACGTTAGTATATTATTATTTCATATTTATAAATATCTTTTTAGGTAAAAATTTATATAGGTACCTAATATATCAAAGCAAATACTCTTACGCGTAGGTGCTTATTATACAACACCTATACCTACCTAGTACCTTCGATAATATAACTATATTATAATGTTGATACAACGAAAACGATTTCTATAAAATCGTGTGAAAACATAAAATAACATTATTTCAGTAATATTATGTATTAAAATCGTTTGCAGATGAAAGCGTTCAAATACACGATTGTTGTGGTTTTTGTCTGGCTGCAGCTGTTCGCGTGTTTTGCCGTCGGAAGCCCAGCGAAATCGAATAAGCCCAATGTGGCGGCTCAACGACGCAGCGGAAGTGGTTACGTCGATTTCGGAGCACACACCGGCCCGTTGGGCTCGTACGGATGGTACGCCGACTTTCCTGCAAACAGAAATTAACAAGTTTAGGTACGACCTTGTTCATTAATCAGATTTTATTATTATTATTATTATTATTATTATAACAATATTCTATTATAATATGAAATACAAAACGATTTATATTCGTTGTTGTGGCCGAATATTAAATTATAATAATATGTTTGTACTATCAGGATAATGAAAATAAATAAATATTTTAACGAAATACCTACGTCTTATTATTTTAATATAAAGGTACCGGTCCACGGTGGAAAATGTGTTAATTTTGCCGAAGCGGCCTATAGGCCATAATATAATAACCACTCAAATATTAGAAGCGTTCGTCAAAATTAAAGCGTTGCATTTTAATGAAAATACAAATACCCATACTCATATTATTCCTCCAAAAACAGCAGAGAGATGTAATATGTCTGGGGGAAATACTGCCCCAGTTTCCTATTAGACTACGCTTCCAAAATATATCAACTGCAATAATTGTTAACTTTATACTTTTACAGGCAGGTTATAAGTGATCATCATCGCCATAATTTGTGTCTTGTTGAATAAGTTGGGAGAGGGTGATGGTGAATAAAAGCAACTCCACTAAGTGGCAAAACACAATATTGCTGATGCTGAAGTATAAAAAACCGGTTAAAAAGCAAAAATATGCAAAATAAAATCTTTCATTTCTGCTCTTTGAATCATGAAACACATTTTGAGGTTATAGCCGTTATAGGTACTCTGGTATCTGTTAAGTATTTTATAAGAGTGATGCTAGAAAATCCTATCCTTGATAATAATAAACAATATTATTATTAATTTGGTATTACATATATTTTGTAAAAAATGTAGTTTGAACAAAAATTAAAAATCATTAATCGGTAAAAGTGTTTAATTGTTTATAAATCATTGTATCATAAATCATAATAGTAATGTATATATGATATACACCTATTATTTTAACGTAATTAATATATTGTGCCAGTGGCGTATATACGAATTATTTTCACTATGGGCCGATTTATCAATTATCACTAGTCAAGCAGCATAGCCATAATTATACATTTTTAAGGGAGCAGCTGTTATATAATTAAGAATTATGACATATTATACAGTTCAAATAAAAATTGCGCAATTCAATTTTATAATTATTATGTAAAATTAATTTTTTGTTTCTTTTTTTAAAAATATTGACAGTGTCGTTTGTATATTTTAATGTTATCTTACTATGAATTTAACATCAAAGTCAATAAGTCATTAAAGCAAGTCCCGTCAATATATCTAACATTTCCTTGTAGATTACTCAAAAATGATTTTAATCAACCGGCTAACTTAATCATGGTGAAAAACTGTTAACAGTTTAAATATACATACAATGCTTTAATTGAGCCTGCAATTTCACTATAGGCTCTGGCCTAGGGGGCCTCCCCCCTATATACGCCACTGTATTGTGCTGATGATAATTTGTCCCTTAATGGTAGTATTCAGTAAATAATAGAAAATATAATAAATTAATAAACAATAAAATAAGTAAAAAATAAATAGATTATAAAAAGTAAAATAATCTGAGACAATAATTTTAATAAATATGTAATAAAAATTATATTTAGATTACATGTTGGTCAAGGCATTCACAATCTTGACCATATAAAGTATAATAATACTTTATTCACGATATGGATACTATTCATGAAATGGCATTTCACGATGAAAAAATTATAAGCTTATAAAAGTAGGTACACAAAATATCAGTATTAGGTACGTATAGGTAATAGTAATTAGTAGGAAGCATAACACTTAATAGTTGGCTGATAATAGGTCATCGAAATACCTCGGTTTTCCTTTTCCTCTTCGGTGTGTATTCATTAACATAGGACAGTCATCATAATATATTTATATAACGTGACCATAGACGCAAATAGTGAGGGACTGGAAGCTATGGCCTCCCCAGTATAAACAACTGAGGATTTTACACTTTTACAACATTTTTTTAGGGGTTTTCTAACACCAGAAAACTTATCAAATAATCATATATAGGAGTCCGCAGTATGAACCTAAGCTTCTGCACCCCTAGAGCTCTCCCTTGCAAATTTCAAACACTATTTGCGCCAATGAGCTCGACATTATACACGATTACACGGACATGAGATGCATAAGAAATGAAATTAATAATAATAAAATATTGAGTACTCGAGTGAACTTGTCTGAAAGACAGCAGAATGGCGACCAACACTGTCACGACCGTCGTAGTGCCGTGAGTGCAACGTCCTAGGGTCCTCATCCGGTCCTGTGTTGTTCAAGAAATAATGACATATAATTGACATGTTGACGACAGACAGCGATGATGTGTTGCAAATACAATTTCGTCGTACCGTGGGTCTTTTGTTTTTAAAAGCTTTGTAAGGCAATCGTCATCGAGCACCTCTCGTAGATAATATTAATTATTGCAATAAATGTTATTATGTGTTGTTCCAGTAATTGATACTTATGAAATCAAATATTTAAAAATATTCACCTTTTTGAATTTGAACCACGTATCTATTTATAAATCATGTAGGTTCTTATAAAATGATTATAATAGTCACTTTATGGTACTTTCAATTATACATTTTTGTTTAATCTTTTGTATTTAAGCCACTGGTTTATAGCTAAAGGGTAGTGTCACAACAATCACAGGTAATTCAAATGTGACGTGTTTCATAGTTCCGAGATGGTATAGTCGGTTAAGCAGTTCTAGAATATTTGCCAGAGGTGGGTCGTGCCTACACGTGCAAGGTGGATTTTAATACATATTATAAGCCCGTTTTATGTTCATCGCCACAATATCATTGATATCAATATTCAATACACATGATGATTGTTCTGTGTTTCGCTTAACATGAACAATGGACATAATGATGACGGTTGCAATGCTGCAATTAATGTTTTGACAGACTGATCGTCGAGGGAAAATATCGAGCGAAGTAAACAATTTGGGGATCTGACAAATGATATCAAAACTTTTTAATAATAAAACTGAAACTTAATAATTACATAAGGCTTATATAATTATTAAGTTATATTATAAGCCATGTAAGATATCATGCTATCCAGGGTATTGGTATTATTGAATTATTTGAATAATTTGATTTCTACTAATCCATAATCCTTACAATATGGATGAGGGGACATAGGGGCAAACTATAGGCAACTTATCGGCCTTGGGCGATATGAGGATTTCCTTATCATTGGCTAGTCCAATGGAGTAACTACTACTCCATGGCGGGCCACTATCCACTTTTTTATTATCTATTAAAAATTGTACAACATAAATGATATTAAACTTATAGATAAAAGATAGTACTTGGTTATGGAGGGACGGGTACAGATTTCCCGATTTTGATAACAGCGAACATGATAANTATTTGAATTGGAAAATAAATATATTTGAATTTATTATAAACAAGCGGATTTTTTTTTTTGTGTTGGCGTCACCCTTACAGCGGTTAAAGTGGGAGTTTTACTTTTCTAAGTTGGCAACAGTGAATTCGAAAATTCCGCTATCATTAATTGTGATTTTGGAAGATATGTGCCCATCTCCTCCATGGCGGGCCACTATCCACTTTTTTATTATCTATTAAAAATTGTACAACATAAATGATATTAAACTTATAGATAAAAGATAGTACTTGGTTATGGAATATAGACAGAACTGCTGAAGACGAATTCACGCAGTTGCTTGCAATAATATTGTATACAAATCTGTAACTATTAACTAGCAATAGTATCTAGTCCTGTGTTGTTTGTGGATTCACGTTGGACGTTTAAATAGCCACTTTAAATTATGGTTTGTCTTTTGCACTTTATTGATAGTAGATTTTATTTTAAAAAACAATTACACCGAAATGTTTTCAGATAGTTTAAATAATAAATTATTTTTTAAATTATTTTTTAGACGACGATTTTCGCAGCTCGACAATTTTCTACGTCGACCGTTAGCAATCACATAATGAAACTGACTCGTCTGCGTGTGGTCGACAATAGCACAATTGGCAAGCAAGCAATGGCTGAAGGTAAACCCCCTCGTTGCATACACGTTTACAATAAGAAAGGTATCGGCACGATCGGTGACAAAATAATGGTTGCCATCAAAGGTGAAAAAGTAAAAGCTATTATTGTTGGCTGTGTCAAGGAACAAAAGCCCAATATTCCAAGGTTTGACAGCAACAATATAGTGTTGATTGATGATAACGGCACACCACTTGGAACACGTATAAATGTTCCAATTCCAATCGTTCTTAGGACTATATTAAAAGAAAAAACCTTCTCAAAAGGAACTGATTATACTAAATTGTTAGCTATTGCTACAAATTATGTATAAACAGTAATGGTAGGTATATATAATATATATAAATTTAGTTGTATATTTTTTCATTGTTATTTGTGTACTGTAAGAATAAAAATATATTAGAAACTATTTATTTTTTATAAACATTTTCTAGTATGTGTCAGGTAGTAAAAATATCAATGAACACCCAATGTAATAAAAGTAATTGTTAATTATGTGCATGCATTATTTTAGAGAAAAAAAATATTTTCAATGTGGGTCTGAGCCCGGGATTACCTAAATTCTTAATATATATAGGTACCGTTTACAGTTTAATAAATTGTCAAACAACAATAATAAAATTGATTTATTTATGAAGTTGAATTTAGACAAGAAAATAAAAGTTATGATAATTTGTTTCAACCTTACTAATTAATATATTTTGGAAAATGTTTAGACAGGAAAAGTGCATTTGGTACCTTGTTATCTTGGTTATTATTAAATATATTTTTTAAGCAGTATGAAAATATAATCTAATATCAGTTAAGAATATTACAGAATTTTTTTTACATTTTCTGTGATAAAAATGATACAAGTTTAATATATCATTGATTGAAAATTGTTTGTAAACATAAAACACAATTCTCGAAACCCATTGTTTAAAACATTGGTGCAAGCATTGAATAAATGCCATCAATTTCTATACTTTTATAATAGTGAAACTTAAGACAATGTTATGATTATATTGTATTAATTATTATACAATTTCAAACGATTATTTTCAATAAATTTCTATTAGTTCTTTTATACAAAAATCACAAGAACATTCCTAAACCTTTTTTTAATCAACTATAAATTTTTTTTTTTTTAATTTCAAAGAGAGGCCTCGGCGACATAGGCCATTGGGTTTTTGTGTTGTATAGGTTTGTATTGTAGGTTTTTGGGACGGTAGGGGGGAACACGTGTGTGTTTGATTTGGCAGAATGTTGAATGGGGCACCCGTAGGTTTCTGCCATGCCCCGGGGGTGGGGGATGGCAGCACTTGTTCTCCGGTCACCGCGACTTGTCCGGAGAAAAATGCCGCCCGGTGGCCGAGGATCGAACTGCGACCGGCTGCATCGCAGCGGACGCGTCAGACCACTCGGTCACCTCGTCCCCCAAACTATAAATTGTAATGATGTTCTATTATGTTTTTAAGAATAAACTTTCAATATACTAATGTACTTATACAAAAATATAAAAGTTGTTGAGTAAAGAGTAAGCATAGCATAATAAAAAAATAATGTATCATGAAAATAATTTATTTAAAAAATATAAATATTATTTTTATATATTATTATAAAAAAAAATAATTTTGTTCACCTTGTAATTTTTAATATATTTTTTTTATATCACATTCAGTTCAATTTCATATTGTTGGTCCAAACCAAGGTAACAATCTGACATCATATAGAAAGTCCAATTTAAAAAACCTATAAAAATAATATACATTTTAAAACTATTATATAGTGTAAACAAATATTAGATTACTGGGTTTAAAAATAATTTTGATGGACCAGTATAAATTCTTAGTAATTATAAAAAAGTATCAATAGAAAAAAAAAATGTAATTGCTATTTACCAGGTTTTGTGGGTGTAATAAATGCTAGTCTGCTAGAAGTCGTTCTATAGCGGTTATTGATATTACGTTTCAATGCTATCAGCTCCCATTGTTCTACTGAACCAAGAATCATAAACCAACCAACATCCTTTGGTTTAGAAAATTTTGGTGCATATGCTTTTGATGGTATAACACGATTGAGAATTTTTACCTCTGCAACTAATGTATATTCCGATCCTGCCAAAATGTCTATTCGTTTACCATTCTCTACTGGTTTCTATAAAAATGATAAATATTATGGTTTTCATTTGGTTAGATTGAAAATGTTTATGAAATTGAATTGTGTGAAATATTTTCTACCTTTAAAACTTCTTCACTATCAGACCAATTGCCTTGTATAAACAAAAGCACTTCTACAACTGGCATATCTATAATCGTTTTAAATGCCTAAAAGTAAAAAATAAAGTTATAAATCTTAAAAATTATTATAAGTTGGAATATTTTAGCTAAATTTTACTTTTTCAATTTCTTCATGTTCCAGTTGAGTTTTTAACATAATTTCTTCAAACCGCTTATAACTTTTAAGTGCCATATTGCATAAATGGGGTAGGCAAAGCATCGGCAACACTTGTGATGGTATCAAATGTTTTTCTACATCAGGTAAAGTGGTTACAGGTGGATCAGTCACCCATCGCGCTTGAATAATCATTTGCATCAGTTGTACTAATCTTAAACACAGCACCAAGTAACCAGCTTCTGCGGTGATATCTATCATTGCTTGTAGAATACGTATAGATTGATCTAATACCGACTTGAGATCAGTTATATAATCTGAACATGGCATTTTTAAACGGGAGAAATGTGCTTGAAGCAAAATCAATGTCTTGGTATGAGAACATTCATACAGACGGCTACCGACATCGATTGGACATTGTTTGTCTAATTCGCTGTGTACAAAATGAAAGTGTTACAAAGAAAAATTATTGTTTTCTTATTTGACTTACGTATTCATAAGATCTTCATTATGTCTAACTGGTAGTAAACTAAACTCCTCGGCATCAACTAAGACTTTTATTAACTCGTCCATACTAAGTTCACCCTTAAGTCTCTCTTGAAATGTCTTAACTGTCATATGTTGTAAATAATAATAAGAAGAAATATGGCCCAGTGGAGTAGATCTAACAGTACGCTGATCCTAAATTTAAATGTGATTAATTGTTTTTCTCTATAGTAGTCAAGGATGACTATATAAATGTACCTCATCGATTTCCACACAATAACTAGAATATAGTGTTCCAATACATCGTTCCACTAAATCTGAAAGAAATTTATTAATAGAACTTTCCTCCAAGCTATGTAATCCATAATATTCTGGGTTTTTCATCAGTCTTTGTATAAGATATGTCCAAGTCAAATATTCCATGGCATCTTGTTTTGTCTTAATGGTTCCAGCTACTATTTCAGCATTAAAATGGTCAGGCAATACATCCAACAAAGATGATTCAACAGGAAAAGGTTCATATAAAAATTTTTTATAAAAAGTTTTTTTTACGTCATGAACCTGAAAAAATGTATTGGAAGTTACAACATATAAAATTAACAAGTTGGTCAGATTTGTTTGATCTTTTATTTCTACCATGATGAGTGCTATTCCCATATTATCATATTGAGGTCGACCTGCTCTACCCATCATTTGTAACACATCAGTAATTGGCATGTCAACATATCTTTTGAGTTTGCCGTCATAAAATTCAGTACCTTTTACTATAACAAAGTGTGCAGGAAAATTAACACCCCATGCTAAAGTTGAAGTAGCAATTAAAACCTTTATACAAACAAAATAATTGTTTTGTTATTTAATTATACTTAAATAAAGAGAGGGCGCGTTGTTATCTTACTTGAATATGTTGGTTAACAAATAATTCTTCAACAATCTTACGGTCTCTATCTTGTAATCCAGCATGATGTAAGCCTAAACCAAAAGCAAGACAAAGCTTCAAATTTGGATCTCTAATATTTTCAATGATTTGATCCATTTCCTACAAAAAAATTATTTTAACAACATTTTTTCTATAAAAATATAATGATGTGTAATAGTTTTATTTTACATAATCGCTTTTGCGAACCCACTGCTTTGGGTTATCTTCTACGCCTAAGTATGCAATCAAATCCAATGCAGTTAGTCTAGTTTGTCTCCTTGACGACACAAAAATCATAACTGGTTGGGTTGGGGAGTGTTGCCTAATAGCTTGATAAATAGGTTTGTTCATGGTAGCCATTCTGGGACAATAATTTCGTCCAGCATAGCCACTAATGTGCACTTCTAGAGGAACTGGTCTCACAGATGGACGGAAATTGTAAAGTCCCATTTCGCCTATGTGTAACCAAGCTGCAAGGTCAGCAGCCGTAGACAGAGCAGTTGTCAAAGCTACAAGACGAGTATGTTGTCCTGTATGCGCTGATATAAAATTTAACCTAGAGATTATTATCTCTAACACTGGACCACGATCTTCACCCAAAAGATGTACTTCATCAAGTACTACTAAAGCCACTTGGCGGACATAGTTACGGGTTTGCCAACTACGAGAAACACCATCCCATTTTTCTGGAGTAGTAACAATTACAGATGAATTTGAAATAGCTCTTATATCAGGTGTGACATCACCTTAAAAAAAATTATTATTTGAAATTAATTCCAAAAATTAAATAAATCAAATTTTTCAATTTTTTGGCTTCAGAAAATAATGACTAGCATAATGAGTATTCAGAGCTAAAATAATGGTCCTGTATATTATATACTACACAGCTAATAATACCTGTTAATTCTACAACTGACTTTTTTAATTTCTCTTCTAACCGGATTTTCCAATCATTCATACGTTCTCTCACGAGTGCCTTTAATGGAGCTATATATACTACCTAAAACACATGATTTCATTCAACATAATCAAAGTATTTATTAAATTACATGATAATTTATTATTACTTTGGCATCTGGCTGTTCATTGAACACTCTGAACATAGCAATTTCAGCAGCTATTGTTTTACCAGATCCGGTAGGAGCTCCTAAGAGTACATTATTGTCAGTATGATATAAACAGTGAAATATTTGTGTCTGTATTGGATTAAAGTGTGTAAAACTATATAAAGACTGATAACCCTGATTTTTAAGTGCAGTTTTTGGTAATGGTTGAAGTTCCAATAAATCTAAAACACAATTTTTTTTTTATTAAAAAAAAAACTCATTAAAATATTGATGATTTGTATACCTGTCACTGAAGCATGGCTATTTGGTATTATAAGATGCTGGAAAGTTAATGGTGTAGTAAAAGTTGTACCTAACCATCGGTCTGACGTACAATGTAATATGTATTGTGATGGTAATGGTTCAACCAAAGGTATGGTAAATATCAATTTTTGTGTTTCTTTTCTAATAACCTTAAAAATATACACATAATCTTAATAAAATAAACTGGAAATGAATGGAAATAATATTTTTTCAATACTTGATTTTTAGTAATAAGAAACTGTTCCCAGTGGTATATCATATCTGTTTCTGGATCTTCGATCCAAATCCAAAACGCAACTGAAGTTTTACCATGAAACCTATCGTTCCATCTAATTACAAAATAATATAATTTATAGATTGAGAACACAATTTTATATAACATGTTATGTTACATACTCAAATTCTGGGAATAGTTCTAAATTTATTCTCAAAATAGTTCTAGTAATCGGTTGAATAGTTTCAGTAGCTTCAATATATGGAAGTTGCATG